ACCACACATGCACATGCACCTACATGCACCCACATGCATGCACAATCATACACCCCACACATACACACACACCTGCACACACCCGCATGTGTGCATAGATTCACCAACATGCATGCCTGCCCCTGCACTCATCTCCATGCACACATACACACAGAATACACACGCACACATGCACTGGACCCAATATACACACCTGGACACACCCACACACACAAAAACCACTCTCGTAGTTTGCACTTCCCTAACCACCATCTCAAACATGCTATAGTATTTTCTTCTTTACTAGGCTCATCGTCTCTCACCCCAAGAATGGGAGCTCCGTAAGACCAGGGACTTTTGTCTCTCTTGTTCACGGCTGTGCCCTCAAGCCTAGAACAGTACCTGGCACACAGAGATGATCTATAAATATTTGGTCACGGAGTGAATGAAGTGGCCACAGGGAAAAACTGGGGCCTCCCCCCTCCATCCCTACCTGAGTCACATCTTTAGATGCCCCTGGAAAGAGTGAGAGGCTGTATGAGTGAGAGTGAGATGGGGCCAGCCTGGGGGTGGGAGGACAGGAAGAAGAGGAGGGCCAGTGGGGAAAGGGGAGGGGCTGAGCCCCTGCTCTAAAGGCTGAAACCCGGGACCCACGGTGCCTGTCTGCAGCGTGCGAAGCCCAGAAGCATTGGGCAATCGTGGCTTCCTCCCTGCCCTCAGGGACCCAGCCGTGCGAGCCCAGCCCCGAGGTGTCTCAGGACATGGAGGAGACGGTTGTGCGGCCCTCAGTGTTTGTGGTGGACGGACAGACAGACATCCCATTCACACGGCTGGGGCCCAGCCGCCGCCAAAGACAGCCCTGCAGTGCATCCCAGCTGGGCCTGGGCCTCCTGCTGCTGCTGCTGGCGGCTGGGCTGGCCGTCCAGGGCTGGTTCCTGCTGCAGCTGCACTGGCGTCTGGGGGAGATGGTCACACCCCTGCTGGTGAGTGGGGCTTCGGGGCTCGTGGAGGTGGGTCTCCTGTGTTACTGTGCGCGTCTCTGTGCACGTGTGTGCAAGACCATCGGCTAACAGCAGCTCAGTGCAAGTCAATTCACTTCTCTGAACCTCAGTTTCCTCATCTGTGAAATGGGTGGGATCGTAAGAGTGCCCACCTCACAGGGAACGAGATACGATATTGCGTGTGTGGTGCCCGGCAGTGGCTGCCCAGGGCAAGAATTCAACCAACCAGAACCGATATTGTTTTTAAACTGAGATATAAATGACATGTTAACATTCTGTCAGTTTCAGGTGTACAACATAGGGATTTGATACATTTATACTGCAATATGATTGCTATTGTAGCATTAGCTAACCATGCTGTGGGGTCACATAACTACCATTTCTTCTAGTAGTGGTAACAAATAAAACCTAGTCTCACAGCACATTTCATGTTTATAATACAGTCTTGTTGTCTGCAACCCGCGGAACTGATGTTCTGACATTGCGAAGTATTGTTAGCCATACCCTGATCACCATTATTCGGGACTGTCACTAATTCACGTTGTCCAAGTCTGCGAGAATCTCTCTCTGCCTCTGTTTACGGTTGGCTGTGGATGTATCTGTTTGCCACACCTGTGAGTCTCTGCATCCCACGCCATGGCCGTGTGGTCTTGGCCCTTTGCGTCGTGTGTTTCCAAGGCATTTGTCCTTGTGACTGGATCTGACGGCCGCATGGGCATGTCGCCCGTGTGAACCCGTACTGCTGTCCTGTGTGTGTGCGCCCACATGTCCACGTACTGGCCTGTCTACAGCCCATGTGCTGAAGACCCACCCGGATCCATAAACCACACACCCGTGTATCTGTGTCCACGTGTCACATAAGTGTCCAGGTCTGTGCCCTATGTCACATGCCCATATCCACTTGTTGCCACAGATGTCCACGTGTCCTGCCATCTCGATGTGTACATGTCTATAATATTACTTATTTAATTAACTCTCATATTGTCTTACTATGCGCCAGGCACTGGAACATGCTTTTGTCCCTGTGAATTCACTGAATCTTAAATAGGCAGCATTCGTGTGTCTATTTGCAGAGGGGGAATATGAGTGCCCGGGTGGTTACAAGGCTGCTGGGTGGGGCAGGAGCATGCACATGGCCCTGGGCCCTGGGGTGAAGACAGTGTCCGTGTGCCGCATCTGTGTGTGTCTCACAGCCATGAGTCTGAGGATGCCAATGTGTGGGCCACGCAGGTCCTCACCGTGGGTTTCTCTGCATTTTCAGGATGGAGAAGCAGAATCCTGGAAGCAGCTGACCCAAGGTGAGTCAGAGTCCTGGGTCCTGGGGAGGGCGGGGGTAGGATGGTTCCCACGTTGCCCCCGCCCCCTCAGCCGGTTGCCCAATGTGATTTACACAACTGGCCTGAGCTCCACAGGTGCCCCTCCCCCGGGCCTGAGAAGCAGAAGTCTGGGGCACTCCGGAAAGGGTGGGGTTGACACCAGGAGGTGGACCTGATGACCCTGGCTGGAGGCTGGCCCTCACCCCTCACCGCCTCTGCCCCTAACCGCTCACCATCTCTCTCCAGGACGAAGGTCCCTCCAGGCCAACCCAGCAGCACACCTCACAGGTGAGGGGGACCCCGGGTCGTGACATGGGAGAGGGGCAGGGTGTCCTGGGGAGACCAGACAGACACCCAGCATGTCTGAGTATTCATTCAGTCACCCGTTCACTATTGATTCACAGACCTGCCCCGCTGCCTATGTCCATGCATTTCTCATATCATTGAATAAACCCTTACAAGGCGCTCACCGTGTGTCACGGGCTGTAATACGCTCTATACATATTAATTCATTAAATCTCAAGGAGGTGCTATTCATATGTCCATTTTAATGGAGAAAAACTGGAGAGCATGGAGATTACAAGTCTTCTGGCCCGGGGTGCGCTCTGTCTCTGTTCCTTGGTTATGCCACTCACAAGTTTTGATGCTTTTGGCTGGTCACTTACTGGCTCCATGCCTCAGTTTCCCCACCTGCAAGGGGAGGGCGTAAGAAGCAAGTGCCTTGGCCTTTCGGTGCCTCAGTTCCCTCCCCTCAAAGTGAGAATAAAGTGAATTAACACATATAAAGTCCCCAACCTAAAACGGAGGGGAGTCGTCGCCCCCGCCCATCCGCAGAGGGACACATGCTGACCAGACCCCTCTGTCTCTGCCCCCAGGTGCCAACTCCAGCCTGACGGGCAGCGGGGGCCCGCTGCTCTGGGAGACAAAGCTGGGCTTGGCCTTCTTGAGGGGCCTCAGCTACCGTGACGGCTCCCTGGTGATTGCCCGGGCTGGCTACTATTACATCTACTCCAAGGTGCAGCTGGGGGGCGTGGGCTGCCCGCAGGGGCTGACCAGCGGCCTGCCCATCACGCATGGCCTCTACAAACGCACACCGCGCTACCCCGAGGAGCTCGAGCTGCTGGTCAGTCGGCGGTCACCCTGTGGGCGAGCCACCGGCCCCCGCGTCTGGTGGGACAGCAGCTTCCTGGGAGGCGTGGTGCACCTGGACGCTGGCGAGGAGGTGGTCGTCCGTGTGCCGGATGAGCGCCTGGTCCGGCTCCGTGACGGGACCCGCTCCTACTTTGGGGCCTTCATGGTGTAAGAAAGGAGTGACAGTGATGCCTCCCTCAGAGGGTGCCTTGGGGAACCGAGAACCCGGCGAGCGAAGAGCTCAGCGGGCACCTCCAGGGGCCGACAACCCAGCCACCCCTGAAGGTTGGAGACCCAGCTGGCACCCCTGGAGCCCCAAAGGACACTGCAGAGCCACTACGGGCAATACTGAAGACAAAGACCCAGAGACTTGAGGGTCTGTAGGCCCCCCAACCGGGGGAAAGCTGATCTACCTGATATTCAGGAAGAAGGGGTGAGGGGTGGGTATTTATGTTTTCGATTCAGAGAAGAGTGGGACGTGGGGGTCCAGAGACTCTGGCCCAGGACGGGCAACCCCAGCCTTCCCCACTCTCATGAGTGTGGGTGGTTGGAGGAAGGGAGTCATCATCAAGACTGACCCATGTGGACAGCCCAGCCAGTCCCCCCCACGGCCATAGCCACACACTCAAGATCGGCTCACAGGCCTGTGGCTGTACCTCCTCCTGGCTGTGTAAGTTCACCCTCAGAGACACGGGCGCAGGGATGTCCCGGTGACCGTTTGACCAGCAGCTCTCCCGGGAGGGAGAGGCTCTGTAGTGTTTGTGATTTCCTTGGTGTGAAGGCTCCCGTCACGGCTGGTTTCTGGCTACCAACGTATCACCAGCTGGCTGGCTGGATCTCAGCACTGCTGGGTGTTCACATCCCACCAGGACACACGGCTGTGTTTCAGCACCCAGGTCAGGGTCTGGCATGTAGCAGGCACCTGGAAAATGTTTGCAGAGAGAAGAAAGGGAGGAAGAGAGGAGGGAGGGAGGAGGGAAAAGAAGAAGGGAGGAGGGGAAGGAAGAAGGGAAAGAGGGGAGGAAAGGAAGATGGAAAGAGAATGTGGACATGCCTACGGCATCACAGAAAATCACAAGGTGCCCTTCAGATCTGCACTCATACACACAAAGCATCAGATACTCGCACAGTCACACACAAGTCATAGGACCACAAACACACAGATTATGTGACGTATGACACATATATCCTACATAAGTCATCATCACAGCCACAGTGACCCAAAGGGGCCATACGGTCACACCAAGTGTCACACATGGGATGCCACGCACATCACATCAGATGCTGCATCACGGTCCCAACCCGTCACACACACACCACATCACACACAGCCTGAGGTTCCTCCCAGCTAAGACCAATACATCCTGGGATGAGGACCACTGTCGGCAGCCCTGCGCTCCCTGACCATGGGTCTTGGAAATAAATGGTAAATGTTGCAACTGGGTCTGTCTCTTCTCAGGGGAATGGTGGCTTGTAGGCAGAGGGGCGGTAGATGGGGTCACCTGTGGAGGTCACTTTACAGATAAGTAAACTGAACCCAGCTGGCCCAACTCCCTGTAGGAAGCTCGGGGGGAAGGGTGGGAGAAATCAGAAGCCTCATGCCCAGATCTGCCTCCCCCTCGAATCTCCCATTCCTGATGACGAAGTGAAGGCTACACCCTGCCAAGCACCCTGATTGCAGACATCGGGACAGAGTGGCGGTCTACCCAGCCAGCTGGAAGCTCGAACTAAGTGGGAACACGGGAAGAGTGAGGAGAGAGAGGGGCAGACAACAATATGCATACAAATCAGGCGGTCTGCAGAGATGAGCATGTACCCTGGTGTGGCTGGAGGGAGGTGTTGGTGCCCAGGACCCAAAGCTGAGGGCTCAGACCCCAGAGGTAGACGATTATTGTTGTTAGTGTTTATTCATTATTGTTGATAGTGCTGTCATCGTTGGCCTGAACAGGGAGGGAGGGAAACAGGCTTTGCAGTCAGATGGTCCTGGGTTCCAATTCCACTCTGCCACCTGCTCCTGTGTGACCTCAAGCAAGTCCCACCACCTCTTGGTGCCTAAGTTTCCTCATCTGCAAAGTGGGAGGTAACACCGGCTTTTGCCCGTGGGGCTGTTGTAAAGATTGCATCAGATCAGACACAGAAAAGGCCATTATAGCATTTGTCAGGCACTTTCCCTATTTCAGGCATCTTGTGTGAGTCACATCCTTAGATGCCTTATATACATACCTGGGCGGGAGCTATTGCTGTCCCCATGTTCCAGACGTAGAGGCAGGAATGCTGGACTCCCCCTCCATTCCCACCAAGGGCACACAGCTTCATGCCTCTCTGCCCTTGAGGGCTGGTGGGAGGTGGGGCAGCCCCTAATGCCCAGCCCCAGCCCCCGCTGGAGTTTCCTTTACTCTTATCACCGTTTTTTTCTGTTTCCGTGGCTTTGATGAGACCAAGGTGTGGGGACAATGCATTACAAAGCCACCAGCAGCCACCAACTTCCGCCTGGGGATGGAACCTGTCACTAAGTTTAGCCTCCAAAGATCATTCCTGGGAGGGGCCTCCGGCCCTGAGGTGGTACAGAGAGCGAGCGGAAGAAAAGAGGGTGGGTAAGAGGATGGGTAGGGTAGGAGGGAGATGGAAAGAGAGGGAGGGGAGGGGAGGGAAAGATGGAGGGAGGCAGGAGGGAGGAGGAGCAGAGAGCCCTGAAGGCAGGTGTCGAGGCTGGTGCACCAGGAGACCTAGACTTTCAGACAGCGCATGGGGTAGTGAGCCCCCAGTCCAGGCCATTGACCTACTTTACAACTTCTGAGAAGTTTATCTATTTGATTTCCGCTTTCACCTCCCATGCTCTGGCATCTGTTCAGATATCACCTTCCCCCACAATCAGCTTTTCCTCCAGACCCGAAGTGTGCATTCCTACCCTCCCCCAGCCCCTGGAAAGGTCTCCTTTACCTCTTGCCAAGACCCAGAGGCAGTAGAAGTAAAAATAATGATGATAAATCATTTATTAACCTCATATTATCATGCTGTGTCCCTCCTGCTAAATGGCACTGTGTTCAAATACTGGGATGCATTGTCTCAGGGAAACAGAATGGGTCTTTGAGGGAAGCCAGGCCTCCACTCTGCCATTTCCCAGCTGGGTGATCTCGGGATCCGTCCTTGGCCTCTCTGGGCCTCAGTTTCCTCATCTGTAAAAGAACACAAATAGTGGCCTCTACCCTACCGTGGTTATTGTGAGATGAAATGGCTTGAGTGTTTAAGTAGTTTCCCAGAGCTTGGCCCACAGTGAGCTCTTTAATCCACAGTAGATTTTTTTTTTTTTTTTGTACAAGCATAGCTGTAATCATGTGTACATTTAAAGTTTGAATTCTTTTCAGTGATTATGTGAAAGGTGACCTCACATCCACAGGCCACATCTAGTCACAGGGTGTGTTTTTAAAATGGAAATTAGTAGCCAGCATTTAAACATGACAAAACTTTGCATGTGGACAAATCTGAATTCCTGGATTTTCTTGGAAATTTGGAAGCTGTGAACAACAACCCAGGCTGGGCAGTAGCTGTCCCTGTTGGATAGGGCACGGGGTCTCACCAGTCTCCACCACTCCTCATTGTCTCCCATACAGAGGCTGAATGTCAGTTGCCTTTCAGCAATGTGTTTATGTGGTTTTGCTCTTAAAGTAATAAGGATCCTCAATCATACTTCTAATGTCCTCACCGCTTGCCAGACACTGTGCTAAGCGCTTTAATTCACAGTAACTCACTCAATCCTCGCAATGACCGTGGGGTGGGTAGTGTTGTAATACCCACCTTAGGGGGAAATCTAAGCACAGAGAGATGAAGGTGGAAAAATAAATGACAGCCTGAGATGACCACAAGTTTCAAGAGGAGTGAGGGTTCATAGTGTTATTATTCATTTCCTGCTGCTGCTTAACGTGGTACGATTGATGATCTTTTAGTTCTAGAAGTCAGAAGTCAGAAATGAGTCTTACGGCACTGAAACCAATGTGCCGGCATGGCTTCATGCCTTCTGGAGGGGAAGTGTGGCTCCAAATCTTTTTATCGGGGTCCTCCCAAACTGCAACACATACATAAGTCGCAATATATATGCATAATATAAGCAATACATAAGCATACATAAGTCGCAATTTGCAAGGAGTGCAGATAACATAACTTCCTTTTTATTCCTATGCGACTCGATTTGTGCAGAGAGCCCTTTGCACCAGGATGCTGAAAGCTATTATCAGTCAATTGGGAACCACCCTTCCCACATGCTCCTTTCCCAAGACTGCAAAAATTTCAGGGAGCTTAGCCAACGCCTCAGCATTAAGACTGATGGAGGGATCCAGATGATTCTCGCCTGTCCACGCAGGTGCCCACTGTCAGCTTGCTTTTTACCCATCAGCCCTCCATTTTCATGCTTGTGACCTATCAAGACTGGAGCACTCTCTGCTGCTCCTGAGCCTTGCTCACAAGGCTGATTTTCAGCCAGGCTGAGGCACCGGAAACTCTTTGAGGCTGTCTGTGGCTTCAACTGCCCAGAGACACCGTCGACTCATTTCCTTTTTGGGGACCTGCGACTTCTCTGGGCTCTGCAATGAAGGACTCGAGGCTCTTCTAGTTTGAGGTGCCCCTAGAATTTCTCTGGGGAGCTTTCTCCGCCTCTTTTCTTTGTTCCAAAAAGCTGAACACAGGAGCTTCCCCCTGTTATGGGTGCTGAATTGTGTCCCCCCAAATTCATATGGTGACCTCTAACGCCCAGTACTTCAGAATGTGACTGCTTTTGGAAATCAGGCCTTTAAAGAGAAAACTAAGGTTAAATAAGGGGTATTTTTTTAAAGTATACTATACACCCAACATGGGGCTCATGGGGCTTGAAGTCCCGACCCTGAGATCAAGAGTTGCATGCTCTACTGACTGAGCCAGTCAGGCAACCCTCCTGTAAAATAAGGTTATTAGAGTAGGCACTAATCCCATATGACCTGGGTCCTTATAAGAAGAGGAGATTAGGGCACAGACACACACAGAGGGATGACCACGTGAGGACACAGGGAGAAGGCAGCCATCTACAAGCCAAGGAGAGAAGCTGGAACCAGGAACCTGGAAGAATAGTCCCCTCTAATAAAGGGAGTCTAGAAAAACCGTACCTGTTATGGATGGGAAGAAAAGTCACCCACAAGAAATCAAGACCTCAGACCTGCTCAACAGGTGAGTACGGAGTTTCTACTTAACAGAAAGTCTGTGGGGACAGAAACTTTTGTCTCTTGTGTTTTGTGTTTTATTCTCCCTCTTATGGCCGG